AAAAGCTCACCGGAAGCACTTTTTCATCAAAAAAAGATGGCGCCGCCGAGCAAGCCAGCGGCCCGGTAGGAGTTGTTCCGCAGACCGGTACCGGTCTGCAGACCGGTGGTTGGGGACCCCTGCTCTATAGCCTCGTTTTGAGGGAAGGAGTTGAAACAGTTTATGTCCGGGATGTGAGGGGTGTGTAGATATTTTCACAGCCCTTTTTGACTCGTGCAGGATACAGGTCCTCCATGGAAGGCAGGTGGGTAGCCATTGTTTTTTTCTGCAGTCCCAATTCCTCTCTGGAGTCTGTGTCTGTCCTGTTGGGTTGCAGAACCAAACCAGACAGTTACGGAGGTACAGAGGACAGACTAAATCATTCCTCTGTAGAACCAGATCAGCAGCTCCTTGGGCAGTTCGAGGTTCCTGAGTTGGCGCAGAAAGATCATTCTTTCTTTCAATCACCAGGTTCTAGTCCCACTTTAGGCATGAAAGCCAAGCTGGGTGACTTTGAGCCTGTCCCTCTCAGCCAAACCCACCTCACAGGGCTGTTGTTGTGGGGAAAATAGGAGGAAGCAGCATTAGCAAAGTTCACCCCCTTGAGTTATTTGTAAAAATAATAAAGGCGGGATATAAGTAATAATTCTCTAATCCGTACAGCTAAATGGGTTTTTCTGCATGGGGGGTGCCTCCAGGTTGAAACAAGATAGGACTTGGGGTCCTTCCCAATCTTACAGCTCTAAGGATTCTACACAAGCAAAGAGAAGTTTATAAAGCTAAATACGCTGAAGAATTAGATTACTGCGCATCAACGAACAGGTAGTCCTCAACTTACGACTGGCTGCTTAGTGAATGTCACCAGTTACGATGGACACCCAAAACGATACTTACAACCCAGATTCGAAGATCCGACACCTGAGCCTGCCAAAGGCAGAGGATTTGGGGAGTTTGGCCACCAGCCCACATCCCTGGCTGTTTGCAGCATCCCAGTCACGCCAGAAACCTTGACATGGGTTTGCTTAATGACCTCCACAAAAAAAACGGTTGTAAAAACCAGGTCTTAATGACCAGCATGATTCATGGCTGCAATTCTAGACTTAATGACAGTCATAAATCAAGGACTAATTTATGATGGAAAACTGTCACCACTGAGTACGTGCAAAACTCTAGCGGAGTTGCCATTCATGTGGAACACGGCTTTATTTTAATTGTTTCGGTTAGCAATAAAGAAGAACCCTCTGCTGCCCGTTGAAAGGACAAATTATTTGTGTCGTCAAAAGCTGCCACGGACTGAAAGTAAAAGGCAAGACAAGACAAAAGTCTACAAAAGTGAAATATACTTTCAATTTTATTTGCAGCATACATTTAGACCCTGGATGGATACAGCATCTGTGAAAAGAAGAGAAAAATGCTTACCAGACGTAGACAGAAGCAGAACCCTCCCGTAACCATTTTTCTGCCTTTCCTACGACTTTCCCCTCCCATCTCACCAGCCCAACTGTGACTCTCTGCAGCCCCAGGAAAGGTGTTCTAAGTCCAGGGATGTCAAACTCAAGGCCTGGGGACTGGATCTGGCCCACAGGGTGCTTAGATCTGGCAAAAGACCGGCCTACGGCGCCTCTGCTAGTGAAAATGGAGCTCAGGTAGGTGTGTGTGTGTGTGTGTGTGCATTTTCACTGGCAGAGGGCTAGAAAAACAAACCAAAAACAAAAGGGAGAAATGTTTCTCCTTTTGCTTGTGAGCATCCAAGAAGGGACAGGAAAAAAGAAAGGGAAAGAGGAAAGACCAAGAAAAAGACGGAAAGATGGGAAGAGAGCCAGGAAGGAAAAAGAAGGAAAGAGGGGAAGGAAGAAGAAAGGAGAATGGAGTGGGGAGGAAAAAGAGGAAAAGGGAGGAGAATGAAGAGGGGAGGAAAAAGAAGAGAAGGAAGGAAGGGAAAGACGAAGGAAAAGAAGGGAAGATGGGAAGAGAGCAAGGAAGGAAAAAGAAGAGGGGAAGGAAGGAGAGAGGAGAATGGAGTGGGAAGGAAAAAGAGGAAAAGGGAGGAAGGAAGGAAGGAAGGAAGGAAGGAAGGAAGGAAGGAAGGAAGGAAGGAAGGAAGGAAGGAAGGAAGGAAAGGAAGGAAGGAAGGAAAGGAAGGAAGGAAGGAAGGAAGGAAAGGAAGGAAGGAAAGGAAGGAAGGAAAGGAAGACGAGTTCAGTGTTACGCCCACCCTGGCCATGCCTCCGGTCACACCCACCATGGCACACCCTAGCCACGCCCCACACTCCCCCCCTCTGCCCTCCAAGGTCAAACACAACCCTGATGTGGCCCTGGATGGAATCGAGTTTGACACCCCTGTTTTAGCCAAACAAGAGGATGCAATTCAGTGCCCTTGCACTGAATTTAAAAAAAATAAGAATAAAAATCAGATTCATGATATTTGCAGCCTTTTTTTTTTTTAAAGAACCCCCAAACCAGATTTCAACGCCCCCCCGCCCCCCCACCCCCCCTGAAGCCGCTCTCATCCTCACCACTCGGATCCGGTGTCCGATGGCTTTGGCAGGCAGGTTGGAGCGGAATTTGGCTCGCACCATGCCGCTGTTTCCGTGGGCACGGGTCACCTTCCCCCAGATGACCCTGGTCCTGTTGGGCTTCCCGCCAGGCGTCACCGTGTTGCTGGCCAAACGAGAGAGAGATTCCGTTAGAAACCCTGGCGATTCCCGGCTCGGCAAATGGATAGGACAGGTGCTCCGAAAAGGCATACAAGGCCCACCCTTGACTTACAACCATAATGATACCCTGTCCACCTCCACCCTCATCCTCTTAGCCACTGTCCATCCACTGCGCGATGAAGGCCTCTTCTTCTGCAGGTTTCCAACCAACCTTCTTTGGCCAATTGGGCCCACGTTTACATCATCAATCCACCTTGTTTGAGGTCTCAAGAGCACAGAAATTCACCCTTTGCCTCAACTCTGCCTTGCACCAAGAACTGCATCAATAGAAGACTCCAAGGTGCTTTTTTTCAAGAGAATCCGAATCAAGAGTAGAGCTGGAAGGGTACCGTGGAGGTCTTCTAGTCCAGCCCACTGCTCGAGGAGGAGACCCTAGACCAGTGATGGCTAACCCTTTTCCGCACTGAGGGCCCAAAGCGCTCTCGCGCGCGCATCCTCGAAATGCCATGTGTGCACATCTCTCTCGTGCATGCGTGCCGCTCCCACAGGTGTGCATGTCCCCCGCGCATACACCTGCATGCGCCCCACTCCTGCACATGTGTGGCAGAGGCCCAAGGACCAGCTGGCTGGTAGGAGACACACGCACGCAGCAGAGCTGAGCTGGGGCAACGGCGCGTGTGCCCACAGAGGGCTCTGCGTGCCACCTGTTGCATGCGTGCCACACGTTCCCCATCACAACCCTATACTGTTTTGTGACACCCCACAACACAAATATGTCACAAGACCCATAAGACCTTGTTGCTGCTTTGAACCCCACATCTACCACCCCTGTGCGTAATGACAACAGAGCCACACGCTAAATTGTTGGACCCTCTATAGAGCAAGAGGCCTCCAACCGTGGCCACTTTAAGCCTGGCGGACTTCAACTCCCAGAATTCCCCAGCCAGCATAGTTTGCTCTCTTGTGATCCCTTCCTCTGCAATCTCTCTCCACTTTGGAGGGGTAAGAGAAAAAGAAACAGACAAGGCTGGCTGGGGAATTCTGGGAGTTGAAGACCTCTAGTCTCAAAGTGGCCAAGTTTGGAGAATCCCTGCGATTACTACTCCTCTTCTCATCCTTCCTTTCACCCATCTCCTCCCACTTATGACTGCATGAAAGGAACTTGGTGGCTTTGTATCCTTACGATTTTTTTAATTGACTGTTTACTACTATAATTTGATCGCTTATTATTATGTTTCCTTGTATGATTCGATTGTTGATTTGCACCCTTTGACGACTATTAAGCGTTACACCTATGATTCTTGACAAATATATTTTATTTTATTTTATTTTTATGTACACCAAGAGCATTTGCACCGAAGACAAATTCCTTGTTCGGTATTCTATATCAGGAGTCTCCAAGCTTGGCCACTTTAAGATTTGTGGACTTCAACTCCCAGAATTCTCCCCAGCCAGCATAGCTTGTTCTCTTGCGATCCCTTCCTCTGCAATCTCTCTCTCCACTTTGGAGGGGTAAGAGAAAAAGAAACAGACACGCCTGGCTGGGGAATTCTGGGAGCTGAAGTCCGCCAGGCTTCAAGTGGCCAAGGTGGGAGGCTCCCTGCTTTAGAGCAGCAAATCTTTCCAGGGGACCAGGACGTTTCATCGACATTGCGAAGATTGTGTGCGCGCATAGACCCCACAAGATGGGGAGCATGAAACAAGCAAGCCCTGTGATCGGCGACTCACTTTTTGGCCTTGTAGACGTAGGCGCATTTTTTCCCCAAGTAGAATTCGGTCTCGTTGCGGGAATAGACGCCTTCCACTTTTAGCAGGGCCGTGTGCTCCCTCTGGTTTCGGAGGCCTCGTTTGTAGCCAGCAAAAGTGGCCTTGCACCACAACCTAGGGAACGAAGAACCTCACAATTAACATTCTGGGCACAACCAAGGTACAAAACAAGGCCATGCTGAGGAGCAGATCCCCCACCATGGCTGCTGGGTTCACATACTACACCAAGCACCCCAATTCTGCCTTACTATATTAATGCAGGTCGTTGAGTATCCATGATTTTTTTTTTTTTGAGGGGTCCTTGGTGGTCTCTGAGCTTGATGGGTTTCTTGGAGACATTTCTTTTTT